CAAGAGTTCTGCATTAATTTTGTTTTTTTTATATAGCGTTGCAATGGAATATCGTAGAGACTTTATTCTTTTTTTGTTAGAAAGAGCAAAGTGTCTAGTACAAAAATATATAAAAGAATTTGATCAGAAATGCTTCCGGAAGATCACAAAAATCTTAGAAGAAAAGACATCGTGAAATTGTTCTGCAACTTCGGTCACAATTTTTTATCCAAATATATTTGTTGGACCTTTTTCACTATCCACTCTCGATGTTTTCGAGCGCCATATATATACATTTATTCATTACAACAAAGGCTTTCATATGATATTAAAATAGTCAGTCTAGCTTGCAAGAGAGACTGAACAGCAAACAGTGTGATTAAAAACTCAATTTGGCCTTTACAACGCGGAAACAAATTTTTGTTTAAATATCTCACAAAGAAGCTGTGTTCTATTCCAAATAATATCGTTTGGTAGAGGACTCAATAAGCTTTCTTTTTCATGTAAAATATATAATTTCTGGCAACTTCCCTCTAGGAGTACAAATTATCGACAGTGATGAAAAATCGGTGATACAAGATGATGTTATAAAAGCGTTCATTTTGACAGTTATCAAACACGTAGAAAATTTCTTTTTTGTACAACAATAGTGCTCTATTCGTACATTATAAAATTCGGAATAAACGAATTAAAAAGATAACCTTTCTTATTGGGTGAAGTTTTTTCTAAATTCGAAAAAGTTGCAGAACAATTTCACGATGTCTTTTCTTCTAAGATTTTTGTGATCTTCTGGAAGCATTTCTGATCAAATTCTTTTATATATTTTTGTACTAGACACTTTGCTCTTTCTAACAAAAAAAGAATAAAGTCTCTACGATATTCCATTGCAACGCTATATAAAAAAACAAAATTAATGCAGAACTTTTGCACCACTCGTTATGTTCACACAGAAAAGTTGATGTATATAATTAAAAGTTGTTTTATTTTTGCTTTTCTTGTTTTTGCAATAAACTCAAAGTCGTTTATGCATAAAAACGTGTTTTAAGGTTTTGAAAACTATGCTTTTTGCCTGTGGAAGTTGGTATAAAGGCGCAACGGTGATGCAACATGTGCCATTGAATTCGTCTCATGAGATCTATCAAACTATATATCGCACTTTTAGTTTATTTTGATTATTAATGATTTTCTAGAAAAATGACCTCGGGGATTATAACGGTTTCTTACAACCTCTGTATCCCCGTTGCCTTTATAGTGGTAGTCGGCAAATTTCTTCCTGTTCTCTTCTGATATATATTAACAAAATGACCCGATCAAAACATTTTAACCTGAAACTTTTTTTTCGATCATTTTTTTCGCAAACGGTACAGTGAGATTACATATATAATGGTTAGAAAAAGAAAACAGTGAATAACTTGTTGTACTAAAGACAAAAACTACGAGATATTATCTTTTTATGACGCAATATTATTACTAGAGTGTCCAGGACACAATAATCTACGTCGACAGCACAAAAATCCGTCACGATTTCTTCGAGTGTGAGTGTGTGGTAAAGAGAGCAGTAAAATTTTATTGTGATAGTAGGAGAATTTTATTTGCTTGTTTTCGGGAACTGGACAAATTCTTGAATGTTAGAAACAATGATGGGAACTTTCGATTAGCATAGATTTTGAGTTTTTAGGAAGAAAAAGTGTTAGATATTTAGCTGATCAACAAACTCTCAAATAAATTCATTTTCTTCTTCAGACTTTTTTACAATATATGTGAAAAATGCCCAGTATTGAACACATAATAACCAGCAACGAAACCATGCATAACAACAAAGCATGTGAACCAATAGCCTTGATTGGCATGTCGTGTACATTTGCTGGAGGAATTGACAATCCCGACTCATTATGGGAGGTTCTTAAGAATTCTGTCGATGTTGGAAGTGAAATTCCAAAAGAACGTTTCGATATTAATTCATTTGCTTCTCGTTACCATATAAATAAACCATTGATACGACGTGGTTATTTTGTTAATGAAAATCAATTTGATCATTTCGATGCATCGTTTTTCGGTATTACGGATGGTGAAGCAATGAAAATGGATCCATGCCATCGTCTTCTACTAGAAAAGTTTGTCCATTTAATTGAGGATGCTGATTATACTATTGATAAAATTAGAGGAACTAGAACATCTGTTCATATTGGTCAATTTTCAACTGATCATTCAATAACATACAATCGTCTACATGTTGACGATCGAACAGATATCGTGGGACCAAATTTATTTGTGTATAATGCTTCTGCTCGAATTGCGTATCATTTTAACCTGCATGGTCCTAATGTTACTTTGGATACGGCTTGCTCATCTTCTTTTCAAGCCATTCATCTTGCCGTTCAAGCGTTACGAAATGGTGAAGCCGATTTTGCCGTAGCTGGTGGAGTAAATCTACATTATACTCCTGAGAGTTTCATAGCTGCAGCAACAACTGGTGCCATTTCTCCGGATGGCAGATCACGTACTTACAGTGAAGATGCTAATGGTTATGCAATAGGTGAGTTGGTTTAATAGAAATTTTTTATTTAAGTAAATAGAAATTTACGATCTGATGGATAAAATCCTGGAAAAATTCGCTCCGAATTTAGCCATTTTGACCATCAGACTGTTCAAAATGAGCAAAATGTATGTCCTTTTCTGAATCAACATGAAAAACCACGTTGAATGAGAGATGTTCTAGCAAAAAATGTTTCGCACAGCAGCAGACCCGTGCTCCACCTCAGGTCAATTTCCAAAACGTTTGCCTATGGTCCACTAGGAATTTGTTTTTGGTGAACAGGCCTTTAGCCGGAACATTTGTCATTCGATGCAGCTTTTCATGTTCATTCAGAGTATGACATACATTTTGCTCATTTTGAGCAGTCTGATGGTCAAAATGGCTAAATTCGGGGCGAATTTTTCCAGGATTTTATCCATCAGATCGTAAATTTCTATTTACTCATGAAAAACATACTTACAAGACTAAATAGGTACCGTTAAAGCCCACCTTCCAGAAGTTCGAATGAGATAAGGCACTTGCTTTTACCACTTCAAATAGAAAACGAGATAGATTTGCAAACTTTCATAGTAGCATATTTCGATAGAAACGTTCGTCACAGTCGCACTGCGCAAACTTTTTAATTTCAGAATCAATCAAATATCACACTCATATTCAGTTTTCGACGATGAATCAGAAAAGACACATTGGGAAAGATTTCAGCAATCAGAAAAAATAAAAATTTGAATTTTCTCAAACCAGTGGGCTTTTTTCAATTCTTTTCCGTCCTTCGACTATTTTTAATGTTTTTGCTTATACTATTGACGGCGCAATTAAAACGCGCATATTCGTGATCAGAACACCAAAATTTATCAAACAATAGATAATTAAAAAAATTTTAAAGTCTACTTCATTTTTGCATTGTTGGCACCTTACATATATATTATAGAAAAAACAGTTAGTAATGAGTAACTTGTATTTACGACGTTCTGAAATCGTTTTTATTCAGAATCAATCTTGTTAACCCCATATACATTATGTATCATGTTTCTATTAGAATTCAGCTCCTGCATAACTTATATTATAAAAAACTGTAGTAAAAATTCGTGCTACGAATATATCTGTTTGTTAATTTGAAACACAATTTTTATTGACTTTTCCTTTATTTCAATGATGATGTTAATAAGACGACACGTGTAAGTCTTTAACAATGAAATTCAAACTTTTTTCCATGTAGCCATAAACCAAAAACTTCTTATAGATCTACAATATGCTTTCTTATTTATGGATCTGCAAACTTAGTTGCAGCCATTTTTCATCGATTCTGTCTTTTTCGCTAGTTTCAGTTTAGAACACTCTAACGGAATACTTTTCCACTTGTACTCTGAAAGAATGAAGCTTATACTAACTGCCGTTACCACTCTAGCGCAATCCGATAATGCCTTTGAAATGTAATGTGTTTCTAAATCTCTGTATCTATTTTTAAAGGAGAAGGAGTCGGTTTAGTACTCCTTAAACGATTAAGTGACGCAATCCGAGATAAAGATCGTATTTATTGTGTGGTTCGTGATATAATGGCTAATCATGATGGCAATGAATCAAAAATTAGTTACAGTGTACCTTCACCTTATGGACAAAATATGTTACTTAATGAAATTTTTACGCGTGCGAAAATTGATCCGAATACAGTATTTTATATCGAAGCTCATGGAACTGGAACTCAAGTTGGTGATCCAATTGAAGCCAACACACTCGGAGCATTTTTTCACCGTTCACAATACAATCCCCCACTTTTGATTGGTTCTGTCAAAAGTAATATTGGTCATACAGAAGGTGCTGCTGGAGTTGCATCTTTAATTAAAGTTGCTTTATGTATGAAACACCGCATACTTACACCTAATATGCATTTTACTCGTATTAATCCCAAGATTCATGCTAAAAAATATAATTTACATATAGTCAATCATACAGTGCAGTTTTCTAATGATCTGGTAACTATTGGAATTAATAGTTTTGGTATGGGTGGCAATAATTCGCATGCTATTATCACCGAATGGTCCGAACAACAGTTGAATAAATATTTTGAAAATGATTTAGACAAAAATACCATGCTTGTTAATGGATATCAAATGAATGGAGAATATAAATGTGAAAATACAAAATGTAGTGATGTTTTATTTGTAGATTCTGTTCAAAATCTGCTCGAAGTATCACGACAACATTTTGTTTTGACATTCTCTTGTAAGTATTATTGCAGAAACTGTTTGCTCGTTATTAGTTCTTCTATGTATATAATATCTATTACGATCGTTCAAGTTTTAATTTCTTTTCTTTTGTTAATAGCGACGTGTAATCAATCAATGAAAAATCAAATAGAAAGATTTCATGCTTGGTTTTCAAAAGTACCTGTGCATTTAACAGAGACATATCAACAATTATTTCTTGCTCACTTATGTGCCAAACTTTTGTTAAAAAGAACCACAAGCTTTTCTCATCGTTTATCATTTATATTTTCAAATTTTAAGCAATTTCAAAATCAAATAAATTCATATTTATTAAATGATAATAATTGTCCTGGTGTTATTCTTCCCCAACAGTATCAATCAACACAAAACTATATGGTTTGCAATATTTGTTTTGTTTATGGCGGACAAGGTCCACAATGGTGGTTAATGGGACGTCAGTTGTATTCGACAGAGCCAGTATTTCGTCAGTGGATAGATAAAATCCATTTAGAACTGTTAAATGTATCAAAGAATTCATTTTCACTTATTCAAGAATTGATTAATACAGAGAATGAAAAGTGTTCTCGAATTAACGACACAAATATTGCTCAACCAGCCATATTTGCCATACAAGTTGCTCTAACTGCATTATGGTTATCTTGGGGTATTCGACCTAAGGTATTAATTGGTCATTCAGTTGGTGAAATAGCAGCAGCATTTGTTGGTGGTCGACTAACTTTGAAAGAAGCAACTAAAGTGATATATCATCGTTCACGTTTACAACATCGTAATAGTAATAAAGGTGGTCGCATGCTTGCTGTGAATATTAGTGAAGATGAATTGCACAAAATAATTGTAGGGCTTGCAGATAGAGTTGAAATTGCTGCTATAAATAGTCCACAATCTCTTACCTTAAGTGGTGATGGAGAGATTTTAGAAAAAATATATGATATTCTGATAACAATGAAACCAAATACTTTTAAAGCATATTTAAAAACTGAAAATGCTTTTCACAGTCGACAAATGGAACGATTTAATATTCATGAAGAACTTATTCAATCTCTTTCTGATATCAAAGGCGATCATCATAATAGTGAATTTAATAAAACATGTTCAGATGCTATACTTTATTCATCGGTAACTGGAGCCGTTGTTGATGATAAAACCATTTTTAACGCCGAATATTGGTGGAAAAATATAAGAGACACTGTTTTATTCAAAAACGCCATTCAATCTATTCTCACTGATATTAATCCTACAAATCAAATTCAAGTATTTTTAGAAATATCGCCACATCCAGTTTTATCCACAGCTATTACAGAATGTTTTACTTTATTTAGCAAACAGGAATTATTACCATCATCATTAAAATCACCCTTAGTTATTCATTCGCTTAACCGAAAGGAACCTGAACAACAAATGATGTTAACGTCATTGTGTCGATTATTTTCTGCTTTCGGCTCACATTCAATTGATTTGAATACATTTTGGAATTCTCGTTCATATTCAAAACTCATAACAACAAAAAAATATAATGATAAGATATTGAAATTAATCAATTTTTATATTGATCAATTACCCAATTATGCATTCAGTCGTCAAGTATGCTGGAGTGAACCAAAAGATTCTGTATTTATACGAAGAGCATTAAGAAAACAAGATCATCCATTACTTGGTTATCGTTTATGGCAAAATGAAGCAAGAACACCAACATGGAAAAATGTATTTACAATAAATAATTCAAACCAGTATGCTTATTTACTTGATCATAATATACAAGGAACAACATTATTTCCTGCTTCCGGTTTTATTGAACTTGCAGTTGCAGCTGTAAATCAACTTTTATTTCTGTTATCATCTCAACAGCAATCCATTGCATTTGAAAATATACAATTTCTTAATGGACTTATACTAAAAGAAGATGAATCAGTTCAAATTGAAACCGTCATCATAATGCCATTTCGTGAATTTTTTATATATAGTCGTCGTAAATATAGCAATGATTGTTTACGACTTGATGGCATTAGTGGTAACGATATTATAACTGTATTTTCTGACCAGAAATCTTTACATGCTTATTCATCAACAGAATGGACACTACACTCGTGTGGTTCAATTAATTTAAAGATCGATACTTCATTGATTAGTTCCATGTACAATTTTGACTCTATTTTGCACAATTTTTCGTCAACTGATAATAATAGCAATCTATTGTCAGCAAAAACTGAAGATGAAATCAAAACTTTATATGCATTCTTTCTTGCATGTGGTCTACACTACGGACCTAGTTTTAAAACTATAAAAACATTACATAGAACGCAATCAGAAGTCTTAACAGAGATTGAGATTCCATCGATTCTTCTACAAGATCAAAATGCAGACCAACAACGATACCATTTAAATCCATCAGTGTTGGATGGTTGTTTTCAAGGATTGACTACTATTATCCCTTATGGCGATAATGAAGCATTTATTCCTGTTGGAATTGAAAAACTTATCATATTTGGAGGAAACAAAGGACTATTTGAAACTGCGCAAGAGCCAAATAGAAAGCTCTATGCTTTTCATACTTTAAACTTGTCCATAAAAGGAACTACACCAGAAAAAGCATATACAGACGAGTTAGTTGTCTTCAGTAGTACACAAGATCTAGCATCATCATCTGTATTAAAAACAGATCCGATTGCAATATTTCAAGGATTTAAAATTCAACAAATACCTACTAATAAAGTACGTTCAAAGCCAATATTTCAAAAGATTGAAGAAAGCATTGCAATTGGTAATACAAAGTCTGTTAACGTTAAAGAATTAGTTGATCGTTTTTGTGCACGTACCTATTGGAAACAAGTTGAATTTGTTCATGATTGTCTTGAAGTGTTGTCAGATCCAATATTGTTATTGAACAACACACCAATTGAAGTCAACAATGATAATAGTTCTATTGTAGTTAAGAAAAATAATAACCAAACTTTTGAGGAATTTGTTTCTTCCATTCCATTTATTAATGAATTATCAGCACAATATATTATCATTTTCTTGAAAAAGTTGCTAAATATTAGTTTCTCTGATGATAATGTATATTTGAAACAAATTGAATTTAGATCAAAAATTCTTGCACAACATTATAACTTGATGAATTCATTTATGAACATTCTTCAAAATCAAGGTTATATTGAAAAATTGGTAAAACAAAACGGAACAGATAATCAACAGTGGAAATTTTTAGATGAACGTGTCAGAGATGTTAGGTTGATTAATGAACATACAATCAAAATATCGCTTGTGAACCTTTTAAATAAATGTCCTCAACTAAAATCAATTTTATCTCTTGTTGAATTATGTGGATCGAATCTTTGTGAAATAGTAACTGGTAAGATAGATGAATTACAATCATTATTTGGATTAGAAAACGAGATTTTATTACAAGAACTAATTTCAGTTATATCAGAAGATAATACACAATCGATGTTTTCAGCATTATGTCAACAAATTAAAAACAAAATAAGTCAAAACAAGGATAACAATTGGGTGTTAAAAATACTAGAAATAGAAGCTGGCTATGGTAGATCAACAATACATATTTTGACTATTCTGAATGATCTTGCAAATAGTACTAATACAAGAATTGAATACACATTTACTAATACTTCATCGGATTTATTTGCCAAAACAAAACAAACGTTTGATGAACTAATAGAAGAAAAGAATATTAAAAATCAAATTAACATTACTCATCAAGTGTTTGATCCAGAACAAAATTCATTAAGTTCATCTTCAGTTGGCTATCAACAACACTTATTAAATCCAGAATCATTTCATATTATATTTGGTTCAAATATTCTAAATAAAACATCAAACGTAGTTAATTGTGTAAGAAATATTCGACAATTACTGGCTCCAGGAGGAATTCTACTTCTTAATGAAATCAATACATGTCTATTACCTTATTTCAAATTTATATTTGGGTTATTGTTTTCGTCATGGAAATTTAGTTCAGATAATTCAGCTGAACAAGTAGTTATTATGTCTGAAATTTTTAATCAAACTAATGGATTCGATCAAATTCATTGTGCTTCTCCGAACGAATCTGTTTTGTCGAGTTTTATTATTCAAAAATCTAATTCTCAGTTGATTTTAAACGATCTTTCAGAAAGACAACAACAACAATGGATAATCTTCTGTGATCATAAACAAAAAGTTGGTAAAAGACTTGCAAATTTATTATCACAAAATAAGATTAGTAATAGAAACATAACACTTGTTTATTTATCACTTGAAGAGAAACAGAATCAAAATTGTAGTTCAAGCGAGGGTAAGGATGAAGACTCAATTAACTATATTAAAATTCATAATACATGTTCAATTTCTTCTGATATACGAAATATCATTCAAAGAAATAATGTTTCAAGAAATTCACTCTTACATATTGTCTTTGCTTGGCCACTTGATTTAGCAATGCTTGATGATAATATTGACGATATAGACAAATTCAAAAATATTTTTCAATATCAAGAAGAGATTGGTTGTGGAGCACTTATGTATCTTATACAATCAATCTATGAAACAAAATTTGTTATTCAACCAAATATATTTGTTCTTACACAGAATTCACAACCCGTAAACAATAGTGATTTACAAAATTTCAATTTAACTCAATCACCAGTAATTGGTTTTGCAAGATCTCTGATTAATGAATATACATCGAATCGTTTAAAATTAATTGATATACAAAGTTCCTGTTTATCATCCGATTTTGTTAATCAATTAATAAAAGAAATGTTTTCTACTATATCTTGTTCTCCAAATGGGCTGCATGATGAAGAAGTTGTATTAAGTTTATGCGAGAATACTAATGTTATACAAAGATGGTTACCACTCTATGCAAAAATTGAGCATCCAAAGTCTCTGACTAAATCTGACATGAAAACAATTATTATTCCAAAACGTGATGCTGATTGTGTTCACTTTAAATTACAGGTACCAGAGTCACGATTCGTATCTGATCTCAAATGGACAACAAGTAGTTTTGAATCATCAAATGCAATTATTCTTTCACCGACAGAAGTAGAAGTTAAAGTTCACTGTGTAGGCATCAATTTCAGAGACATATTAAAAGCACGCGGCTTACATCCACATGCATCAGATGGTGAAATGGATTATGATAGTGATGAAGTAATCGGCTCGGATTTTTCTGGTATTATAACTCGTATAGGTTCAAACGTAAATAATAATCTAAAAATAAACGATCAAATATTTGGTTTAACACTACAGACGGGAGCAATTAAATCACATATTATATTAGACCAAAACTTAGTTGTTAAAGCATCGCCAAATTTTACAATGGAACAATTATGCACATTGCCAACACCGTTTGTAACTGTTATATACTGTCTTCGTGATTGTGCCCATTTACAGAAAGGACAGACTATATTAATTCATGCAGCATCCGGTGCAGTAGGATTAGCAGCAATTCAATATTGTCGAATGATTGGTGCTAATGTCATTGTAACTGCTGGTACAGAAAAAAAACGAAACTTTTTACGAGAAAAATATGAAATTAAACATGTATTTAATAGCAGAAATTTGTCATTTATAACAGACATTCGTCAGATTGCACCAAATGGCGTTAATGTTATAATTAATTCTCTTACTGGAGATTTTTTACAAGAGTCAATTAAATTACTTGCACCAGCTGGACATTTCATTGAAATTGGTAAACGTGATATTTATGCTAATGGAAGATTATCATTATTTCCATTAAGAATGAGCTGTAGTTTTCATGTTGTTGATTTAACTACACTACAAAAATATTGTCCGGGAAAAGTTCAAGAGCTATTACAATATATTTCTCAATTGTGTACCAATGGCATATTAACACCGATTGCGCCGATGACTGTGTTCGAACCCTCTCAAATACAACAAGCTGTTACAATTTATTCTCAAGCAACACATATGGGGAAATTTGTTGTAAGAATTACTGACTCTGATGCACAACTGGAAGTTGAAAAGGAGGAAACCAAACAACAACATCAACAACAAGGTTCGTTAAAATTACGCAACTCGTTGGTTGTGTACATGAAATATAGTGCAGTTCTAGTGAAAGTCGTTTGACGAATAGAAGAATGGCGAGTTTTTCAGTGCTTAATGTCGAGTGTCCAAAATTCTATAAAACCTTCATTAGAATACAGTTTGATAGTTTTAAAAATATTTCAGATACTGATATTAGTGAAAAATCTTAATTATTTTAGAATAAGACGACTTTTTTTTCGATCATTCAACAAAAAGACTATTCTGAGTCAACCCGTCTCTTCTAAAAAATCTTCCTTCGCTGGGTGGATTTTTTTGATCGAATCTCCCTTTGCAATGACAGAAGTAAACGGAAACTACAGATTAGGTCTATTCGATAGTTACTGAATAGACAATGTAGCAACATTTATATATTTCAACTCATTTTTGTGATTTTAGATATAATGTTTTCGGATTTGGTTTGCAATAGGGGAACAGTTGTAATTAGTGGAGGCCTTGGTGGTGTTGCTATTGATATGTCAAGATGGATGATTAAAAAGCGTGCTGTTAAAAGAATAGTACTCCTATCACGAAGAAATATTGAAGAATTAAAGCAAAATAGTTCGCAGTTAAACGATTTGATGAATTTAATACAAATTGCTAAACGGCATAATGCATCTGTCGAAGTTATGAAAGCAGATGTGACGGAATTGGATCAAGTAGTAGAAGTTATTCGTCGTATTAATGAAAATAGTAAATATCCGGTGCGTGGTATTATACATAGCGCAATGGTATTACATGATTGTTTATTAGCAACTATGACACAAGAAATGTTATCTAAAGTTATGCAGCCTAAAGTCTGCGGTGCATGGAATCTACATTATGCAACAAAAATACTATCATGCCCAATTAGTTTTTTCATAATGCTTTCATCTATTCGAAATCATATGAGCGACGTAGGACAATCGAATTATACTGCTGGTAATAATTTTCTTGATGCTATTGCTCACTGGAGATTTAATTGTAAAAATCTTCCAGCACTTTCCGTTAGTTTACCGGCAATTTCTGGAGCTGGTTATATTCATAAAAATCCAGGAGATCTAGTTCAGACCTTACAGTCGAAAGGAATATTTTTGATGCCAGCTGTTTATGTATTTAAAATGATTGAACAATTACATTTCATTCAACAACAACAACGAATAATAAAAACAGACTTTTCTTCACCTATTATGTTTGTTTTGAATTGGAAACCATTACTTTCTTCAAGTACGAATTTTTCTTCAAGACTTATTAGTATCGCTAAGGAATACATGAATAGCAAAGAAGTACAAGAAGAAGAAGCAATTATTGGACATATCAATAATGTTAAGAATCAATCATCTTCATTACTTTCAACGTTAGATATTGATATTGATACAATAACAAATAAAATTCGCCTGTCAATATCAAAATTGTTTGGTGCCCTAAGTGTGGACCGTGTTGACTTAGATAAACCACTTATACATCAGGGTATGGATTCATTAGTTGCTGTTGAAATTTGTAATTGGTTGGGAAAGGAAATGTCTGTTACTGGTCCTCTTGTTGAGTTACTACAAGGCATGTCGATTAATGAGCTTGCCTCGTATGTACGAGCTAAACTGCACAGTCGACAAACGAATGTCAATGTTGAATTGAATAATAACAAAATCAACGAGTCATTGGGTATTGAAACCGATAATGACAACGATACAAATTCCTTATTTAATGTCGAAAACAATGACATAATAGAATCACAAACTCGTCATACGGGTACTTCACTTATTATTCCACTTCATCATTCGTCCTTTAGACAACTGTTGTTTTGTATACATGATATGATTGGTCGACCTCAAACATTCAATCAATTAGCACTTAAAATTAGTCAAGTTTATCAAAATGAATCGCCATCAATTTTTGCTTTTCGGGCAAGTGGCTATGAATCAGATGAACCATATATTCAATCAGTTGAAATGATTGCCGAAGAATATATATTGCAAATGAAACGAATGCAACCGACTGGACCATACAATTTAGTTGGCTATTCATTTGGTGGACTTATTGCATACGAAATGGCACGCCAGTTATATAACTATCATGGAGAAACAGTTAGATCATTGATATTAATTGATCCTCCAGTACCAGCTAATGAAAATCTGACAATACCTACAGGAATTACTGAAAACCAATATTGGTCCTTTGGAGCATTGGGTTTTATATATAGTTACCTAATGTTGAAAGAAAATAGTTTTTATCATTCAATGGATGAAATAATGAAATCAAAAGTGTCAGAACAACAGCAAAAGGACATCGAACAGGAAATGATGCCAAAAGCATTACAAGCATTAAAACAACGATTTTATCCATTAAAAGACAATGATGTTGATTCTTCGGGAAATCAACAACATTCAACAACAGAAAAGATGTTTCAAATTATCAAAACACAATATAAAGCAATAAATCATTATACATATAGTTCAGCAATTGATTTAAATCGTAGTGAAATAGGGAAAAATGCAATTATGTTTACCTTAAACGAGAATAACAATAGTAATAGTTCTAATGCGAAAACTAACGTACATCTAAATCGGCAATTTTCGGCAGGTAGAAATGAAAATATAGAACAAAAGCATCAACTTTGGGAAAACTTGTTACCTAATCTTAAAATTGAAGTAGTACCAGGTAGCCATTATACAGTTTTACAGCCACCATTTGTTGATCTCATCGTACAAAAATTAATAACCCTGAATATTTTGTAAAACGTAAATCTCTCTGAATAATACAGTTAAACGCTTATTTGTGATTCATTAGGTACATGATTTTAGTAGAAAATCATGTCCAGGAACTTTTTGAATGTCCTACGTATGTACGGCATTGACAAAAGATACAGTTGCTTTTTGCTACAGCGAGAAAAAGAAGACTTATTAGAAGTTCATAAAAGAAGTTCATATTAGTCTTTATCGTCATTTCCTTTTCTTGTTTTATAGACACACACACACTTTTTTCACACTTCATTTTATTTTAGTTTATTTTATTAACCAAAAACCCGCAAAAACTTGTTAGTCTTTGTTTTATGTGGATTTTAGGTTGCCGGTGATTTTGTGTATCTGTTAAGCATTTTGTTTCCAAACTTTTCCTTTGTTAACTTAAAATGTTCTATGATCTTGAGGAATGTTTCAGTTTGTTCTATAGAATGCTCTACGACTTCCTGGAATATTCTGGAAGATTTTGGTCTATTAAAAATTTTCTAGAAAGTTATGAGAAAAATCTGTTACAGACTTCTATATTTATATATGTATTAAGCGGTTTATTACATTTTTCATTTGTTTCTCTGTGTTTTAATTATTTTTATGTAATTTTGCTTTGTATACAGTTTTCTTAGGCTTTTCATACTTCGTAAAATAAAATACAAAACGAAACAAATTTGTCGGGATGAAATACAATTTGTTACTGGTACCTATACGAGGGCTTCTTCATTTACCGTTTTGTAGTAGAAAAGTATTCCAGTGCGATGAACATCTACTTTATCCAAGGTTAGCAGAGCATTAACATTAAAAATCCCAGCCGCATCAAAGCGTGGACGTCATTTTTGCAAAGTGAACAATGACGAGTTGAGATCTTCAGTGGCAAACGTTAAAAAATGCAACTGTTAGGTTCCCGAGTGAACTAAGATCTTTCTCACCTAACGTTTATTTACAAATAAAAAAGATATCCTTTAACAATAAAATTAATCTATTTATATAAGAAATATTGCGCAATAACCTTGACCATAGTCTTGCACCATAACCTTGACTATATGCTTGCGCAATAACCTTGACTATGATCTTCTCTCTTATGGCATGACTCTAGTACGTGACATAACACCTTCCCCTATGCAGCAAGATGAACTTCCACGTTTATCGAAAACTAAATACCTCTTGAAGGTCCTTTTATGTTCAATGTTCCAGTACTGCCACCACCATTATCATTGACCAAAGATTTCGATTTGAGCACGTTCATTTCGGCAAACTGAAATCCAGGATTTGCCAACATGATGGTTGTTCCACTTGTTTGCATTTTAATATTATCACTATTGGAGTTTGATCAATCATTCATGAAGCCGCCACCAGCATGATGTGGCCACATAAGTTCTTCCCTGTCAAAAACTGAGAGTTGTTCTTCAAATGATGAAGTTGTTTTTTTTTAGTGTTTTTTCCGTGTTAGATTGTATTCGTTTCGTGACACTTTCTATAAATCGTTGTGATTTATTTTGAAGATAACAGCCAAAATCACGCATGTGTTGACCATGGAAATAGCGTTTTCTCACTGTTGCTGGCGTTATCACTGATGTTATGGATTGGAAATTGTCTTTGAGAATCCTTCTTCTTCATCTTCCTCCACCTGCTTCACTAGAAGTATATCGACTATCAAATGGATCAACATATAATTCATCTAAATCGGTATCACACTACGATTCTGATCCATCTTCCGATTGTTGATCATCTAAATATTTCAACACTGCTATTAATTTGTTGTTGTTCATAATGAATGATGGATTACTTTTCATTGACTTTATACGTTTCAAACATGCTAGTTTATCATGATCTATATTATCAACTTCTAAACCTTGAAATGTTTAGAATATTTAGATGAAATATTTAGACGATCAACAATCGGAAGATACTTGGTTGATATGGTACAACTTGATGATATCGAAAGTATCTGTCCATAGAGTGAAAATTTTGATGGTTAGTGCACTCTCAAAGTCCGCGATGTAAACAAATATGTGCTATTGGAGAAAACATTTTTTACATTATATCCACAGTTCTAAAGTTAAATGTTTTCATATGCATACTATTTCATATACAATATGTAAGCAGTACATCCTATAACTCCGTCTTAAAAGAAGGTAATACGAGCTTGTTTCCGATTAGACGAAGACATCCGTCTTCAAATGACACGTTTCGAAACGTCTTATTTTATTCTATGTAATCGGTAACAGACTTGTAACGCCTTCTTTTACCGGTGTTAATGGAATACTATTAACGCAGGTTCATGATTGAGGTTAGGAATTCAGCAGACGTTCTTCGTTCCTTTACGTACTAAACCGTGCTTGCGGTTTTTCGATAGTCGTAGTTAAGTGAAGTTAGTGTTTCTATATTTCGTGTTACCAAGTCATGTTATATTGCGTTTAAGTTAGTCAACATCACTTCTAATTTCTATACTTCTACATCGAAGTAGTATCTAAAAAAAAGAAAAGAAAAGAAAAAGAAACTCATCTAACTCAAATTTCGACCCGCCCTTTCCCACCCTTAATGGAGTTTAGTCATTAGATTTCCTTAATGTATTCTCATCTGCGGTGTTCATTTAATTTTCTTTTTCAGTATGATGAGTAAACCGGGAGAGAATCGAAGGCTTCAGATGAATACTAAGGTTGTCCATCTCGATTAATTCAACTACCAATCAATCCAATTTCTGATATTGATACAATCTAAATGGCTACCAAACGACTATCATTGTACTATACTATCATTCCAATATATAAGGAACTGTATACTGCAGCTGACGATCTTAGTATCAGCGCAGTCTATCTATGAAGCGCTACTACATTTGCTCTGTGTGACATAGATCAACTAATCATATCATCGGAGTGCTTCACTCCTGCCACAGCTGCTCTGTCGAACTTAGTCACAGACCAGTAGCTGATGACGCTCTTTGCCAGTTGTTCGTCCAGCTTTTACTACGAGTATTGTTATTTATTATTATATAAGAAATATAATAATAAAGAAGAAATAATATATTATTATTAAATAAGAAGAATTATTAAATATTAAATAACAACTGAAATTAATCCAGTTCAACACTTGCTTATAAATTTTGTGTCATTGTGATAACTTCCACCGTAAAAAATTTTGCGTAGCACTGCCATTCAAACTTTGTCGCATCAATTTTAGGACTTCTGTTGCACTATTTTCTTATTGAAAATTTCCATATTTGTCTATCACCACAGCACTTATTTTTACAGCGTATTTTCAATTTTCACGATATATGTCACACACAAAAGTTTTTTGATGGTATACTGTTATGGTTTCCACATACGTTGTTTTAAATGACAAGACTTTTATTGATGACATAAAAATGGAAAAGGAAGAGAAAATTGATACATCTCTACTTTTATTTTAAGTCAATAGTAACACATTTTCGTTGATAATTTCTGCCGTTGAATATGACTGTTTTTCTTTCATTTAAGACACGTTTGTCCAACTTGATAACACAACAAGTTAATCATACTAACAAAAATTATCAACAGAAGTGAACAAGATAGAGAATACAACAAAACAGGCGCTGATTGATTTACAGCATTTATTTATTACAAAACTATACAGATAACACTTATGCATATTTTAAACCGGGCAAAATCTTGTTTTGATGTTATTTGTTTAACGTAGATGTGAAGGTACATTATAAACTACGATACGTTTTTTTGTCACAAGACCACGATTGTAATTGTTTCTACGTGTTTTAACAGGGGATAATAGACGCACAACAGTTTCAGGTTTTGCTGAATACGTTGATTTATGTCGGCCATTTCTTTTAGTATGACATCTAGAATAAGTATTACATAATTTTATTATTTCTGTTCGAAAACGTTGGCAAGTGGATAAATAGACGAGAAAATTAGACGCATGATGTAAATGTAGTAGAATATTTGTAGTGATGTGAATAATATATTGAGTGTTCGAACGATTCTTGGTTGCTAACATGTAGATTAAATGAACGGTTGCTGGTGTACTTGTTATGAGAAATAACGCTGAACTGGACATGAGCATTGCAGTCATTATCTTTTGTTTTGTCGAAAGTGTTGTAGCGAATTGAAATTCACGTGGTTTAATGGATTTTTCTATACGAGATGCTTCTTGTAATCGATAAACGATTATACAATTACAAATAATCACAATTGGTGTTACTGTCCAATAAGTAATAGAATTTTTGATATATCCCCAAATTAACGATTTAAATTCTGATTTAAAATAACAAACCGATCCAGTACGTAACTTTTTACTCATCAACGACGTCGTTTTAGAATCATTGTAAGTAGCAACAGATTGGTTTGTGACATTCGTATTATTAAGTAAGGTTACTGTTGAGGATACGTCTAATATTTGCGGTTCAGACTTGTACTTATAATGTGTTTCCATAAAAAATGCGTAGTGGATAAAAACTAGAAGCGACAAACAAAATAAAAAACAAACAAAAATACGAGCTTTAATAACACTGCGTAATCGTGGTAGATGAGGTATATTAAAAATAAGAGTTAATCGTTCAATATTCATTATACCAATCATCCAAACAGACAGCAGACGAAATACGTCTGTGAAATAGATAATTAGGCAATCAAAACTAGTAGCTGTTTTCAAACGAAATTTTGCTAAGATTTGATAACTTTGTAGAAGTAAAACAGTAAAATCAGCAAATGAAAGTGCGGTAATGAATGCGGCTGAAGTCGTACGTCGGAAAAAATGTTGATTAACAACAATTATTGTTAATGCATTTCCGCAACAACCAAATATTGAGATTAATAACAGAGATATTGCTGAAACACGTTCATATGACATGTTTTATGACTTTCAGTAATAATTTTTTTTCAATAATTACTAGTTGACAGGAAGTTCTAAAATATAAAAATTATACCAAATAGATAAAATTCGAAACAAAAGCCCATTAATTAAATTATTTGATCGAGCCAGAATGTCAAATCTTAGATGTAAATAAAAGATGTGAAACAATACCATTCCTTTTTATCTTGAAACACAATCTCTTTTTGTGTTTAATACATGAAAAAAGGCTTCCACACTTCTACTATACGTACACAGAAAACATTTATGCATTATATATTGTCAGGTACTATGTATAATGGAATTATTGCTGCATATAAGTGCTCATTCTCGTTGTAATGTATGTAATTCTGAGAATTAAGAGATTAGCTTTTGCCATATATATGCAAATCCTTGATCCTCATGAATTAATTGTTTCTAAATTAGTCAGAAATTCTCCTACACTAAATCATTCTCAAGTTTTTTTTCAGTTAAACGTAGCACCTATTAACATAACACAGTCTATCAAGCATTTCAAAATGAAGATCAATAAAACTTCTATGTTTGAGATACTACTGTATATATGAATCATGATAAACTACTTTTATCCTTTTTATCATTAGAAACATATTTACTTGTTATAAAGTAAAATGTCTTTTAATTTGAAACTAAGCAAATTGTTGTTTTTTTTCATGTTCCTTTTGATTAAATAAAATGAAATGAAACGAAAGATCCTTATGGGATCACTGACAAAAATTTGTAGCGGCAATGAAAAATGATTAGCACCGTAATTGACATGACACGTCTTTTTAAATTCAATAGATCGGCATGCATTACTGAAATGTTTTTTTTATTATAAAGATCGTCTTACAGTAAGTGTTGCAATGCGGAATTTTTTTGAAATGGTGTTTTTGAGAGCTGAATTACAAAGAATTTATGACAATTCATTTTTACTTTTGTTAACATTGTATTTTTTTTACTTCTTATGCATAATATTTTGTTCCTTTCTGATATTAATCTTTTTTTGTCGTCATTTCTTTATTCAATTACCGGTATTTGTAAGTTAACGTCTGTATGTCTCCTCCAATATGCTGATAATAGTGATAACATCAGATCCTCTCTGAATGAAAGAAAAGAAAAGATTTCAGCCCTTTTTTAACACGAACAGATTAGAATAAGATTTATAACTATGGTGAATTGACCCCATCGTAAAACAAAATGTTTTACGATGGTCTTGCTTTTAAATCCTCTCAAAAGTGGAATGTTACTCTGAATAGAAGGCCAGTTTGTAAAGAAAGTTTTGCAAAATCGCCGTATAGCATCATTTTTTCGAAAATGTTCAATGTGCGAAACTATAATAGAAGACTGTGATCTAGGGATTAGGATTAAAATCTGACCTGACTTTTACTGTTCATAAGATTTTATTTATAAGTGCTTTAGTTATCAGAAGATAAACAAGATCTTGGTAGATCCGTCCATGTCTCGCTCAATTTTGCGTTTTTCTATCAAACGAATTGTGTAGTATAATATGCTTTTGAGAACAACTGCGGAATGTAGGAAGTTCGGAGACATAGATGGAAATGTCATTGTAAACAAACAATGTTTTTACTGAATAACAAAAGATTTTCACCTTGAGAAGAGCTAAGGACAATTGAAAATTGTTTTAATTATCGTTTGTGTAACTGTGACTAAGCTCATAAATATACTGGAAAAAAGCACCGTTAGATATCTCCTGAACGATCGCTCATATAAAGTTTTGTATGCAGAAAGAGCACATCTACACAATATAACAAACATAAAGTCCGAAGGAACCACATTGTTGATATGGTGGTTGATACGGTACAACTTGATGATATCGAAAGTATCTGTCCATAGAGTGAAAATTTTGATGGTTAGTGCACTCTCAAAGTCCGCGATGTAAACAAATATGTGCTATTGGAGAAAACATTTTTTACATTATA